CGTACGCAGACTTCTATTCGCATGTTTATTATTGTATATATATATATATATTCATAAGCTATTTACACTCAATGTCCTGTCGTCACGAGACACCCTTTATACCATATTTCTTTAAGTACACTGTATATGTAAGCATGAGATATTTTCCCATCAAAACGTACCTGCGTGCATTAACCATAAGCAGGAAAATGGTGCGATATACGCAGAATATCGTTCAAAGTGAGCGGATTTATGTCATGTATGTCTATATATATATATAAATACGTAAAAGCACATGCGCATATCCATGAACGCGCGCGCACAACGACAACCGGCAATTCTTCACCAAGGGGCAATTTCTTTCGCTGACAAATTATCCCTGGAGAAATGCGTGCCCGTAAATTCAGCGCATTAGTAGTGAGAGGCGCAAACCGGGGAAAGAGGGTGGTTGTCGCAAAGGGAGTTCCTTCAACCACCACCAGCCTAACATTCCCTGCCTATATCTTCACGCCTATTTCACTTTTTTTTTAAATGCATTCTCTCTCTCTCTTTATTTATCTCTGCGATCAATTGCAATTACTTGGCCTCTAGAGGTTTCGTCTTTATTCACTTGTCAATGGTATATCAAACAAATACGATATCCCTTGACAGAATCCTCGAATTTTATTTATTTTATTGTCAACGGTATTTATACCTGGTTTAAATTATTTAATGTTATTAGGGAAGCGCCAATCAGTAATTTATTTCTTTTATATGAAAATTTTAATATTTCTTCTTTTGTATCTAGTCTTCATTTTTATGTATACCGCAATTATACGATGTGTGACTGATAACAGATATTACGACAGCACGCGATAAGATCATATATGACGTATACGAATTGTTATAACGTATCATTGTGCTTTAGGTGAATACTGTAAATTCTACGTTAAAGTTTTCATTATTTTTTTAATGACGCACTTACAACACTTACTTTAATGACGCTTTTACATACATAATTACTAATGGAATTGAAATTGATTATCGAATGATAAGGAATTTTTACAGTTTACAACGTTTATTAGTACATAGGTATATACATAGTACATGAATGATACAGCCTTCGTTTACATTATTTATACAAAGTCCGTGTAAAAATACAGCAGCCCCATTTTGTATAGACTTGAGTACGCGACATTATAACCCGATCTTGCTTTACATAAATCTGATTTCTATTTATGTATTTTATACTATATACCGCAGCGCCCTGTTTGTCACGGGAACCGCACGTTTCTTTTATATTTTCTGATCTCGCGCCGAATCACTCAAAGCAACTGCGACCTCTCGTCGTTTTACATACATAATTAACGCAGGCAAATTACATCCACCCAAAATATACATCCCATTTTTTCTCTCCCGCAAGTTAAAATTTTCCGATACGTCATTCCCTCTCACATTCCATCCAGACAAATCATACGTGGTTATCACTAACGTTATTTTAAGTGAAAACTTTTATGTTTTGAAATTGCCAAATTTCGCACGTCAAATTTTTAACTGTCATTCGCTCGATACTTTATGTAAAAATTAAATCTTAATTTTTGTCCACTGTGAATAGTGATAAATTAATAGTAGCTCGAAGTGTTAATTAAAGGATATAACGATCACGCTGAATTAACAGTAACGAAAAATGTTCTGTGATAATTGTCAATAGCGAATGAAATTTTGAGGATTTCAAGGCACTAAGAGAATTTTTCAGGGAACAGACTCGCGTATACGTACGTATAACGTTACATAGAGGGAGAGAAATATGATGCACGTAACAGTGAAACTTTATAAAAGAAAAGACAAAGAAAACTTTACCACGTTATTCGCTTTTATTATTTTCAGTGGTAGATGACGTTTAATGTAATCAAATTCAATAAAGTCTGACACTGTCACGAAGTATACAGTGCGCGACCTGATTGCACAGGTTGAACTTTACCAGGGATTAAAAAAAGAGGCAACAGCAAAAATATGGAAGTAACGCTTTATACTCTATATTGGCAATTTAAAGGGAATCTATAACGACTACTGTAAATTTTCATCCAGGTTGCACATATGACTATGCAAATATGCACTCATTAATCGAGTATTTTATTACCTGGCCAACGGTACCAATAGACTGTCGGCCACGGTTCCAGTAAAACCAATGCACCATTACGTAAGCGTACCACCTAAAGCAACTATTATAGTATGGTCACGATCGACAGTGACAATCCACTCGCAGTGTTAGGAAAATTCGAATTAAAAAAAAAATAATACTTTAAAAGTCGACATCGTTAAGGATTTATAAGAAACAGTCGACGGCAGATTTTTTTTTTCAAAAAACAAAAAAATTAAATTCATGGATATCGCCATCCTTGCATATAGATAAATTACAGTGGAAGACTCATTGTAAAATATATTTATATACAGTATATCGATGGAAAAAAATTAACAATTAATTATAAATATTTTAATAATCACGAACAGTCCCGTCAGCCAGTTCTTTTCTGGAATTCCTCAAGGTTAATAATATTAATTAAAGAACGTTACGACGCACGCAGCATATGTATATATATATATAATATAAAAGTGTAAATCAATGGAGGATTTTTTTTCTTAAAATTAAAATCACATCCCATTTAGGGTTAAGTACTAAGTCGTATCTACGCGTATAGTACACTAGTCACGAAACGAGCCAACATTCACATGGTGTATAATATCTTGTTCCTCAGGCGTGATTGTAATTACGTTCGCCCCGTAATTAGAAGGATTGGATCAGCTAAATACTAAAGCTTAAAGTTAAGTTCAACCGGAAGCCTTACGGCAAAAAGGCCCGTCAGGCATATCCAAGCGTATCGTTAGCACTTGAACATGCTTGACGAAGTTCTAGTCGAACTTTGGCGTTGCGTAGGATCCTTAACTGAGGATCGTGTTTGAACGCTACACGTCCAATTTTCGTGGGACTAGATAAAATTGGGGAATAGGGAAAATCAGCAAAGAAAAATTTACGAGTAAATAGGTATTTACGATTTTAGAGAAATGACTGGTAGAAAGAAAGCACTGGTATTTTTGTTCTCCAAATGATTGCTTCAAAATATGCAAGTAATAAAATATTCTGGAAAATTATGATAAAGGACACTGGCAAAATTAATATTTTGCATTTCTCCAATTTCAATTCTCTCATTTGTCATTATATATAATGGATAACAGAAAAGTGGACGGAATTTACGAAATGCATGTACCTATGTATCTATGCTCGTGTAATTATGCACGTATGCAATTATCATTGGAATGCATGTACACTCGGTATGTGAAGTTCGCATACGTAGCGAATCCATACGGTACAGTTGTTTATGAAATGGTAAAATAAAATAGCCAGATTAAAAGCATTAAGGAAATCGCGATAACACTGGGAAATTTGAATTTTTACATTTTTCCATTCATAATTTTTTTTGGAAAATTTTCTACTACCGCTATCTAATCACGAATGCAATCAAGTGCAGTTTCATTGAACGATCTACCTGTCTGCCTACATGCATAATATAGCTGTACAGTAGAGAAAAGATGGTAAGATTTTACCTAGAATACTATACTTTATAACGTTAAGACCTTACCGCAATTTCCAGCACTCTACTGTATTTACCGTATATGCAGTTTCCCGGAAGGTATACACAGTTCGATACGTAAAAAGTTTTGTCGATGGTGGTACAGATTATGGCTCTTTCCACTTTCCTTACAAGTGTTACAAATATAGCAAGCTGAATAACTTTTTCTTTTTCTTTTCATTCCCTCTCCGTTGTCCTAAGCGGTGGACAAAAGGAATATCGCGAAAGGATAATAGGAGTAACACGTGGCTGGCGTTATCCTGTACTGATTTTTTTCCTCCGCGCTATTCGTTTAACCGGATATTACGTTATCAAGAAACCAAGAAGAAGCCGTATAACGGAAGCATCCCATTTAAGTACCAAGCAAAAGAATTTACATGATGCAACAAGAATCTCGAGCAATTGCAGGTCACTGTGTAACAATGAGATTATAGCAAGTTGCTGAATCTACAATAGCAGTGGGAGATAAAAATGAATCCGGGTTAACTTTAAATGTTTAACGAAAAGAAGGTGCAAAATGTACAGGGTGTAAAAAATTTTGTTTAAATGTCTGATGAATTTTATTGAGCGAACGCCAGAATAACAGTCATCTAGTCGTGTTAGTCGTCATGAATTTCATCATAAATTTTCAGATACGGCAAACGAGGTACACGGTGTTAGAGGGATGCTGGTCTCGGAGCTGGTTTATGTATAGGGATGACGAGGGAGAGCGAGGGGTGGAACCCTAAAGTTTCTTCTACCTACCCGTTAAAGGGTGCCGCATTTTACAGGAAAGTAATAAAAACTTACACCCCTAAAATCGCCTATCCCGTCGCCCAATTCCGTAGGCTATCGGCCATAATTCGAGCATAAATGATGTGGCGCTTGGAATCTGTTTTGACAACAAATTCGGCGCACGGGGTTAGAAGTACGGAGGGCTTGGAAAAAAAAAGACGAGAAAACCGGTAGAAAATACGAATAATGGATTTTTCAAGGGAAACTCCGGATCTTGGCTTTAAGCGATCGTGGGAGGGGAAAGCTCCGAGAACATTTCAAATAGTCACTCACGGTAAAAAAAAAAAAATACATGGAAACGAGAAAAATAATGTAAAGATACAAGAGTGAAAACTTCGAAAATCAGAAATCTACGCGAATTTATTACTTTTTTTGTTGCTAGCTTTTCAATAGGAGTAGTCAGCTATAAATGTAGAATTGATCAATCACACTAAAAAAAAAATTCCTATTGTGTCCACTTAATATAATAACGTAAATACCTATTTCCAGCAGGAATGTGTAGACTTGAAACGTGAATTTAGGCTTTTACCATTTTCTATTTTTTATTCGATTTTAACCCTCTTTATAAATGTGTTCGTTGTGCACTGATGATGAATTTTTCCAAATTTCAATTCAAATAACAAACTAGATGGTATTTTACTTGCGGAACGAAGCAATTAATTTTTTTTACAAATTATTATTTTTTTTTTTTCATTTGCATTCCTGAAAATTTCAAGCCAATAGCCAGACACGCTTTGTTTTTATCGCCAAGGGCCCAACTGGGTAAAGAGTTTGATATCTATGTAGATACCGGTTACGATAATGGAAAATCATCGTGGCGAATGGGAAAACACGTTATTTTTAGATTATTTACAATTTCACAAAAATATATAGATAACCTCGACGCGATAATCTAGCACGTTAAGTTCGTTACTATTTACTTTTACTGCGGTATACGGCATCTCTTTAAATTGCATATTTACATGCAAATCCAGAACACCAATGGTCGAACATGACGTTGACTACGATTAGGAATTCCTATTCATATAGGAATTATTTAGATAGTGTTCGGGGAACGCTCTAGACAGCCTGTAAATCGGATCGTCGATAGAACGCGGACGTGTATCCGATATACGTGAATCGTAAAATATATCATCGTCATCGATAATCAATAATATCGACATACGTCAAATTTACATATGGATACTCCCAACGATTAAAAATCGTATGTACGTATGTATATTATTCTTGATCAGTCAGATCTAATCAAATGGTGTGGCCACATTATTTAAAATATTTTACTTTCGAGGAGAAAACCCACGACTATAGATTTTCAAATTTTGCGTTTATTTGGGCAGTGCATTGATAATTTTTATTGGCACGTATCGCGATCGCTAGAAGACTTCGCATTGGAGGATGATTAAAATATAAGAAAGTTCCCGTATATGAATTTGAGAATCCATGGAATTCGTGAATAATTTTATAACCGTGAAAGAGTGAGTCAACTAATCCGAAAAATAGAACAATAAAATCATTGATTTTTTTTTTACATATACGATTAAATTCAATTGTCATCTATCAAATTACTTTCGGATTAGAATCGACTGATTCACGTTAAGATGCGCTGATGACTATCACATGGTAAGTACTTCTTACTGTTAAATAAACCCTTACCGGTTAGCAGGAATTCACGAATCTTTAAATTCTCCAGGAGCCTCGAAGCCTTCTTTAAAAAAAAGCACCTTTTCCTCAAGTTGCTTTATCCGTCCGGGTTCCTTGTCCACTTCCCATCGAAATCCTTTAATATCCGTAATTAGTAGTTGTTCCCGTACACGGCTATAGGCCGACGCACGATTCAATCCTCCTATCTACACCCCAAGAATACTTTAATACTTATGTACACAGTAAAAACGCACAAGTCCCATAATCAATCCCCAGAAATTGACAAGAAAGGAACACCTCAAATACAAAAGCATTGGCGACCCTTGAGAACAGAGTAAAGGGACCAGACACAGAGATGGCGTCACCTCAGAAATTAAAATCAGTACGCAAATGTCCTAAAAACTAGAAATATTTACAAAATCGCAGGACAATCGCAATGAGTAACAAAAGGTCGAAGGCATCTCGTAACACGAAACGTTCCTCCATTAGTCAGCGTGCAAGGATTGCCAGGAGGGAACGCGTTCGCCGTGGTCACGCGTCCGAGAAGAGGAACTCACTCTCGGAGAGGAGTACCTCCAGGTCCGAGGGTACCGTGTGAAGATCCGAATTCGCTGGATCGGGTATAGTAACGTTGCTACCCCTCGTGGGATTACTCTGCTTCGCATGATTAATGCGTACCCTGTCCTTCTTGCTGCTCCTCACTAGAACACCCGTCCTTGGTCCTGAGGTCCTTGTGGGTCCATGGGTACCGGCTGTTGCCTGACCGACCTTATCGGCTTTCCTAAGTTTTACACTGAACTTGAAGGGTGGTTTATACACAACCTGAAGTCTAACCCGATCATTCTTGGTCTCGTTGCTCCTTGTCAGTGAGCCCATACTCCTTGCTTTGGGATCCGTTGGTCTTCTGAGAGTGACTTGTCTTACCCTACCACCAGCTGTTCGACCTGGTGTATTCGACGACGTAAGACCCACGGGTGTCGATTTGCTCTTGGGCACTCCTGAGGTTACCGCTTCTACTCTGCTTTGAGATGCGAGCAACCACGATCGCACCTTGCTCTTCGGATCGGCATTGTCTGCTGTAGCAACTACACCGACACCAGCACCTACGGCGCCAGCCGCGACTTCGTTCTCTGCTTGCGCCGCTGAGTAATCAATCACTTCTTTCTTCTTCCGTTTCTTCTTGTTGTTGCTACCGACGTTCTCCGACGTCTGCTTGTCCTTCGCAACCTTTTTTTGCTTATCCTGCAACGACAATGCCTCTGCTACCCTCTTCCGGGCGGGCTCCTCCGCTGACGATGGCACCGGCGCAACCCTCTTCTTCTTTTTCCCGACCTTTGCGGCGATTGGTGATGCAGGATTATGGAGACGAGGACGAGGTTGGAATAAATGAAGAAACGTACAATATTAGATCTAGCGAAGCTCGTAGAAAAATTATAAAAAACAATTTGACTGTGATTTAGCGATGGACCATTTTTATTAGATCTCAGATGTCTCTCGGAGGCTCTCGCTGCCATAATCCGTAGAGTGCTACAACCGACTATGGTACACGTAGCCCGCGCACGGACACGCTTGACATCAAAGCCTGGGGATTTCGGAACGCAGTGAAATTTCAGGCAAACCGGATATTGAACGTTTCAAAACGAGAGTACGTGTATCTGCTTCATCCGACGATAGGCAAGTATATTTAATCACCGCCAACCACAGTCAAAGAGCTATTACCCAAGTTATCGACTCGTAGGCCAAATGCCTATAAAACCAATCCCGAACTTCGTCATAAGGTATACAATATTTAGGAAGATTGAGTAAATTGAGTTTTAGCGTGCCCTATATGTAAATACAGTATAGACATACATGATGGATTACCTTGGCAGGTTTGTCGCCGGCAGGATTCACGTTAACACCGGCATCTTTATGCTTTCGGCGTCGTCTCTTCTCCCTCACCTTCCTGCTCAAGGGTAGTTTCGCTCGGACAGCTGGAGGGTGAACTGTCACCCCTTCCGCTCCTTCCGGCGGAAGTCGAACTGTCTCCGTTGTCGAGCTGTGGATTATCGTGACCGATTTCAACTTCAGATCTGGTCGTTTCCCCAGAAACCGGGTGCTGGCCACCTGTGAACAAACGAGTTCTTCTCTTAGTTTTTCTTTTTTTTTTTTAATCATAGAAACGTTTAGTCACTTTTTGTGTTTCCGTATCCATTTAGGCGAAGATGACGTAATACAGGTATTACCGAACACGAAGTACGGAAGCCGTATAGCAATATAGCATAAACGTAAATAGCAGCAATAGCAGTGATACCGGACGAGCAAAATAAAAAAATAATACTTCTATGGCTATAGATATCCTAAAATAATAAAATACTTTGACTAATTGCACGTGTTGTCCGCAGTTGCGCAAAGTAGTTATTAAAACGAAATATCGGGTAATTCGTAAGTCCATTCAATGAAAACCCACTATAGAAGAGGAACGTAATTATTAGCCCATGATGAAAGGGTTGACGGATCCATAAAGGTGAAATTTCGGTCTTCATTGTTCTGCAAATTGACAAACAATAGAGCGGAAATTCGAATCAGAACTGTTCTCGGCCAACAAATTTCGACATTGACATATACATGAAAAGTACCTAGTGGGATAATACGTAGAGATATATTTTTTTATAACGTATAATTAAAATAAAATTTTCTTTTTCCATTAAAAACGTGAAAATAATTTTCTCCGATTCAAGTTTCAATTCTAGTGCAGTCACCATTTATTCGGATCGTCCCACAACCCATGTAGATCAAAATGCGAAATTGCATCAGAGCCGATCGATGCATCAATACGAAATGATGAACGGTACTGTTTCCGTATTAAATCTCTATTAAACCGCATTAAGGGCAACGTCCGACCGACGTATAAAAATCTTAAATGCACCTGGGATGCGATTATCGGTATTTCTCGTATAAAAAAATTCGTCGTCTCGACTTTAATGATACTTTTACAATACTGTACTTTGTTTCGTTATTTTCAATAATGCCTCCTGCACAATGCAACGACCGTTGCACTCGACTTATTCTCGTTTCAGCATCCAACCATCCGGAAATGCAATAACTGCATACGTGCCTGCAGTCTGATAGAACGTGTCGCGGAGAGTGACTTTCAGCATCACTTCTCTTACACAATATTGAGGTTCGATGCGTCGACACGTGTGTGCAAATATACCGGAGATATATATAGAATGCGAATTTAAGTGAAATTTCTGCGTAAGCGACAGACTTAAGCATTGTCCGCTTAATTGGAATATGCAGTCGGAATCGGATGCATTCGAGATACCCGCTGCATATAATGCACGCGAGAAACTAAATCTATTTGGTAAACTCGCGCGATCTAACAATGTCGCTTACGGCTTCAACCGGAAGGGATTTTACCTGGAAATTGTATAATGTGAAACAGTCCTACAGTTCGGGCCCATATATCTACGTCATTGTTCTGATTTTGGCATTTGACGGAGTTCAACGAATTTCGTTAAACTTTACGGAACTTTGATATTAATCTAGTGATTATTATTTCAGCGACTACATATGCCAACCTCTGTAAACGACTGTAATTGGGTATCTAATGAAATCAAAGGCTGCTCGAGAATTCATACCTACGGATTAGGAAAATTTGTCTGCTGATAATTTCAAAATTATTTATTTACGATCAATTTATGCTCGTTCAACCTCTGAGCTCGTTATCGGATCAAACGAACTACGCCTAAACTTCGATTATCCGTAACGGCGGAGAGAATTACAAAACTTGTTAATTGCTAACGAACGTGGGCGAATTAATGACTAGCAGCGAGATATCAAAGTAAACAACGAAACACCAATAACTTACACTCCTTAGAGTCGTATCTTTTCGTCCCGTGTTTCTGCCAAAGTGTCGATAAGTGAAGAATAATAAGCAAATTAGAACATGGAAAAAGAGAATATGAAACAGGAAAGAAATAATGTGAAAAATATCGTGTCCGCAAGAATTAATCTTGGACCATCAAGAATCGGAATCTGCGCATTATTAATGAATCTCGCACGAAATTAATTTTCCAATCGGGTTTCGTGAATGGGTACGGATATAAAGGTCGTTAACCGGCATATTTCGCGCACTTTCAAAGTTCATTAATTTTTTTTCTAAGCCGCTTCCAGCCCCAACGTTAATTATTCCCGATACCACAATAGCTGAGATATTTCATCGTGAATTTTTGCGAAATTAATAAAAGTAACCAGGACCAGTAAAGTTTGCCCGATAATAAAATTACAAAAAATTGCATGCAAAAGTGCATGCACTTGAATGTAAAAAAGAAAAATCCCTTAACGCTGACAACAAAACTGCATATTGCACTTACCAGCAGAGATATTGCACCGAGTACTATCAGTGCAACGGCGTACCAATGTTCAGCCATCCACCGTCGGAAAGAAGCCAGACTCTCGTCGGACAGTAACAGCTTCCTAAGGGTGGCTAATGGTCCACTAGGATCGACCTGAGGCAAAAAAAAAATATAGAAATCGATTAATCCGACGAGTCAGGTAAATGAAAATTTATTATAGAAACTTGATTAAATAATATACCAAGTGTAAAATAATATGTGCATACCTCTCGGCACTTTTGAAAGACATCGCAGTACCCGTTATAGTCGTTACAGGGTGTTCCAGGTTTGGAGAACATGTCCGGAATATCGTAGGGTGGTGAGTTCCATTCGAATGAGGATCTAACGGAAAGTGATAGTGTCTAATTTTCATTTGTTATAAGTTATAAGAATTATTCAAGGAATTCGCTGCATATATCGGAACGGGTATGTAGACTTCGAGAAAGATCAATATTCGGACAGAAATTGTGAGTCGAGTTGAAAACGTAAATCCGAACAGAGAGAAAAAAGTCTATTTGAACCACTCGTGGCTCGCTCCTACGTTTCCCTGATAACCTAATATCCACATCGATTACTTCGAGGAGAAACGCGAAACGCGCTTTTCCAAGAAACGGAGGGTCCTCCGTGGTAAATCGAAGCATGTCGATGCCGAGAAACTTCCTCATCTTGGCGAGCCTTTCAAATCGAATCGGAAGATGTCATGCGGCGAGGCGAGGATAATAGAATTTTCGACTTATTCAATTACGAGCCGAGATCTTATTCGACGAGGATGAAGACGAGGTCGATGCCAGGACGAAAGAGCTTCTCGATAAAGCTTCTTAGAAGCACGATACAAGTACCCGGTTCTACGTATTACGATAAGAATAAATTTCTATTTTGAGATCTGAACGATACGGAATCTAATGATAAATATATACACGAGATATCCTCAAGAATCTAACTCACAGACACGGTTGATTTTCACCAGGAAGTCGACAACACAGCTCGCAGGCCTTTGTCGTGGGGTCGTTTGGTCCTGGGATGCACTGACAGGATTCGAGACCATAAGCCAAGCAAATACTGCCAGTACATTCCTGTTAAAGAGAAAGGAGAGTTAAAAATGTTCAAATCAATAAAGAAACGGTTCAATGTTGCTGGGACGTTTCGTGTACGGCACGAAATTGATAGTCGACTACTGGAAGACATTAATGGTATTTTTATCATCGAAAATTTTCAATACTGGATTTTACTTTCTGAATGGGGCGAAAGATATTTTTGGGTAACATCATTTGCCAAATATATTACCGGCGTCTACAATTTTTATGACTTTGGCATATACCTATGTATTATATATATGTGCACTGAGTGATATAAAGAATTCGGAAGTTTATCTATCACATATCAAAACGTCCAGAGTAAAAAGCTTTGGCTACGATCCATGAGAAAATGGATAACCACGGAACTTTGGCCAAGGTACTAAATCCTACCAAGCGTCCGGACTTTGATATTCGAGTTTTTCTGGACTGTTTGTAAATATTTCATAACCACGGTATACGAAAGTGCATGTAAAACTTGTCAAGTAAATATTGAAGCTTGCCAATACTTTTTTGAGTTTCAACTAATAAAAACGAAAGTCTCAATAATGTTCAAGCAAATAATTTAATTAGAAAAAATAATATCGAACATACCCCCATAAAGCAAACCAATTCCTGATTGCAGATTGTTTTGTTAGGTTTGTTAATAGACGGCGGGCAGTGCGGCGCCCTGCCGTCGCAGAAACTTGCATCCCTGCAACCGTTGTCGTCCCTGCACTTGTCGCCAAACCTCAGCTTGCACTCGGCAGCGCAGCACGGACCCTGAAACAAAGAAGAAAGAAAATGAAGCAGCTCTTTCAAAATAGAAAACCAAATGAGAACCACTGCTGGCAAATTGGCAACATCAGTCTGCCATAAGGTAGTCTCTCTTAAAAATGGCTACATATTTTAATACAGCATTTCAAAGTTTCATACATATAATACATATATATATATATATATATATATATATATATATATATATATTGCCCTACATATTTGCATATATTTTCATCATAATTTTCAATAAAAATTTATACCACGTGCACAGTCACAAATACCAACGCTTCAAGAGGTGCATACGAAATTTCAAAGTGTATGGCGTTCCGGTAGAAATTGTTTTTCGTAGGAAAAGAAAAGAAAAGAGAAAACAATAACGATAAATTCTGGATAAGAAAATTTCACGCGTCATTTGACACTCACCTGACTTGGACTGCATACAGAACCAGGAGTAAGTGTGCAAGGAACTTCTTCAGCGGGCGGATAACGACGTTGAGGAAAGCAACACGAATCCCTGCAATCTTCTTCCCAGCCACAGTCGCATTCCTCGCCTTCCTCAACGACACCGTTTCCGCAGAGCGAAGCTTGAGGTTCTGAAATAATGGGAAGGATCGAGAGAAAATTGAGGGCCGATTTAAGGAAACGGGTTGTCGTTTAACTTAGACCTTCGCGGTAACGAAAAGCGCCTAGTAAGACAGTCTGATTCGAGTACAAACTCTGCTAAAGTAATATCAAAAATTAATAATAATAAATTATATCATTGACTACGTACACGGAATACTGACAAGAGTGAAGATAAATAAAAAAAAATCATTAATAAAAATCAATCTCAAAGTATAAATAATAATTTGTCTCTGCACGCGGATACAGAGTTTCCTCGTATATCTTACAGCGGCTCCACAGTAGCACAGTCACTCTAATAGTCTTTAATAAGACTTAATCAATAGGTCTGAACGAATCTCTTAGGATCGATCGTGGAAATCAGCCCAAATAGGAATTGTACTCGATCACGATAGAACAACCAGGAACTAATTGATTTAATCAGTGTTGTTAGCACTACTCGGCTTTGGCGGAGGCGACTGTTCTCGTATTCACGTAATGCAAATTGATAGCCGCACCATTCTGCCCGACTGCTGTAACACCAAGAGAGTAAATCCACCAGTAAATCGATAAGTTGACTTTTTATAAGGCTGAAAAGTGTTCGTCGCCATGGTTCCCATAACTGTAAACGGAATCGTCAATAATCGGCGCGTCAATCGTGCTCGTCACTATTGGCTGACACCGTATGGCTACAACCCATGTCATTCTGCGGATGCACTTCTGTGCCAGAGCACGTGAATATCGACGAGTATATCCTATGCACTTCACGATAGAATCGAGCGTACCATATTGCAATTTGCGAAATCGGGAATTCGCATGGTCTCTGCGGTACGCGACTGACGTGGAAGCTGCAAATTTCGAATATTCACGTACCGGCAGTACACGTGTATACGGTTAACAGGTACCCATTGACAATTGTCTTCCTAATAAAATATAACAGATCATACGCTGTGATACAAACGTAATTTAACGTTAATGGAAACAAGCCCATAGACATATACATTTTATGTATTACCATAGCGACAGTTCTGTTAAGACTGCTGTAATTGAGTGACTGGGAATAAAATAGAAAATAAATATAGCTTTTTTCTAAGTTAATTATCACTGTTACGTGAATTGGGTTCTTTAGATTAAAAGCAACCCTCCGGTAATGCTTCCTTAATGCGATTGCACGAATATGTAAAATTTGCTAGAGATTAAAATAGAAAAAAATTTTTTTGAAAAAAAGAACTGCGTCTACCTATCGTCTTATAAATTTAATTAAGCCTGGCATAATACAAAAGGACACGTTGACGGCTTATTAGATATACGTTATGTACAATTATACATCCGACACATAATTCCAACACGCCTTGCATCCCACATCCACTGTACCAAAATTCACTTTGATCTAAAGTCAATCGGCATAATTAATTTCCATCGTCCCGTAGGCGTACTTGCGATTACTGTAGCCGCGAAACAAATCCAATTTGTCATAGACAATCTACGAGCCACTCCTGAACCTACAGTAATTTCAAAATAAGCACAAGGCAGATACGAAGTATTCGACCATTGAAATACCATTGAAAATCTACTCACCTGTAAAACATCCTTTAGGCGATCGAGCCTTGGTATTCAGTACTGGATTAATGGCATTCAGACTGCAAGGACTGAAGCGATTATTGTTCCGTTTGTCACCGCTGGTGGCGCGAGCGAACATTATGAAGTTGCCGTCTTCTCCACCAGGGGTGCATTGCTCGGGATCATGCTGTGATATGATTGTATGAATTATTAAAATCTGACGTATACGTCGGATTTCGTGTGTCCGGATACAAAATTCGGCAATTCTTCTTGGGACTACTTTGAAAATTATCATAGAATAATTTACCGTACCGTTAATGGCACTGAGCTTAGGACTTACCGGCGAACCGAAGTTGTGTCCGATTTCATGTGCCAGAGTGACATGAGAGACTGCTGGCGGAACGTGCTTCCCGTAGTTGAGCAAAGTCACTATCCCCGTATTCAGGGACTTCATGCTGCCACGGTAATGCTGCAACGTTACATCAATATTTACTCGTTCCTCTCAACAGCAACACCGGAACAGCCTGAATTTGCATAACGCGCGAGACGTACACGTGCGTATATAGCAGCTGATCTTCGCATTGCGGCGAGCCAAAATAGCGAAGGATTCGTAGAACGTGATATAAAATGGAAACCGTGGCTGTTCCATCAGCTTCTTTTCATCTCGTTCCTTTCCTCGAATTCGATATACCGATTTTCATTGACGTAACATCGAATTGAAAATTTTTCTCATTACGAGTCTCGATCAAAGCTATACTATACTATATTTTTTTTTATATATATATATAAAATACGTAAAACTACAATTATAATATCCTCTATCGGACAATTAATCTTATATTACATGAATTCGTATATAAATATCACACTGCCACGATTATAATTTTTTTTTTCTCCAGTAAACACTTTACTTTCGAATCGATATCTAATATATCCTACAGTTCAGACTTCCTCTACCAAAGATAGTTTCGCTTTCATGGATACTGGGTACATACGGATAGTACGATACGCTCGGGAAGGTTTTCCAGGATCCGCGAAGCTTAAATCGTAGGTACGCGCGTACAATGCAAAGCACATAAATAAAACGTCGGAAGAAGACGCTCGACGTCGCGTAACTAAAACTCCCCGATAAAGGATAGAACCCCAGTGGCTATAGATATACTTTTCTAGTAACGCACTATATATACATATGGCCTACAACCGTTCCTATACTCGTCCCCCCTCGTTCCCCCCTCGTTCCCCCCTAGATCCTCGCACTCTTTCTCCTCCTCCGCGTACGCTTGACTACCAAGGCAATACTCCCTCCTCTCTCCCTCCGCGATACCCCCCTCTGCCCACCTTCATCTCTCTTCGCGCTTCGCGCCAACCCCACCGCCCCACGACGTTTCTACGATTTAACATTCAAAGCACATGTCACGGCTCGTGCGAGCTTCGTCGACTTGCGCTCACGGAGCTTGACGTGGTACGAGACGATATCGACGGGGTAGCGTCGGGAAGGAGTACAGAGCGAACGTTGAGAGGGTTGGAAAGAGGGACGAGAGGGGAAGTGGGAGGCAGATGAAAAAAGAGAATCCGATATAGCACAGAAGTCAGAAGAGTTTTCTGCTTCCCACTCGATCTCGGAATTTCCATCCTTTTTCCACGTACCGACGTTTCGGTGCTCCCCCTTTTCGAGAACCATCCGCGCTTTCATGCCTAAATTTCCTGGGTGTACAAAGGACCTCTCGTAACCGTGAATTCATTTCTTTGTCGATAGGGCGTCGTCTTCGGACTGGCACAGACAGGGTATACAATCGCGAGGAGTAGTTTGAATTTTTGTTTTTTTCTATCGCTATGCTGTTTTACGTGTAATAATAAATAGTTATATAGAGGGTTATTCGCGACAGAGGCACACCACCTGAAGTTAGCCTATCCATTTCCATGATAAAACCATCTTCAGGTGGTGTATTTTCAATTAGTAATACTACGTATGCAGGGGTGAGTTATTATAATTTTTTTGTATATTTACCCCATTCTTCTCGCAGACACCCCCGGCATTCTTGAGATCTCCCGTCCAAGCGAGGCCCAAGGTACCCATCTCGAAATCACGATAGGTGAACATGTAAGCCAGGCAGAATGCATCGTAATCCTCTTCTGTAACAGACAATAGAGTCGAGTCGCGGGATTAGCACGTGTTCCTAGAAGCGGTTTAGTCGGACTAAGAGAAATTACTGAACGAGGCTGAATCCAGAATGGAGAAAGGGAGGAAGATAGAGACGAGGAGAAAAACAGTGAAAGGAAATTATTGCCATCGGCAAGTTCGGATATAATTTTCTAACTGACTGTCGAAGCTCTGTACCCACTCGAGTAGACCCATGGGTACGCTTTAGTTGGGTCGTGATGGCGAACGGATCTTCCCGGTTTCAAATCGTTACCGTCTTTTTTCCAGCGTACGAACAGTGCCAGCTTACCCATAGAAATTGATATTCCTCGCGAGTTCTATTTCGGAGAGAGGGATCCGTCTGACAGAAGGAATCGAGTATGCGACTTTAGTTTCCAGAAACCACTTGAAGCACTCGAAACAAGTAGTAGGAAAAGGAATGCCAAACTGGCACAGTCTGATCATTTCAACATGTTGAATTTCACGAACGTGTATTGCATTTTTTAGACAATGTATATATATATATATATATATCGATGTACAGGATTATACAGTTTAACCATGCTGGTCACGGTTTGACAGATGTTATATAATTGATTTTGTTTTCTTAGTGATTCTCAGTGTGGCAGATCTGACAGGTCAGGTAAAAGGTATTGATAAAATTTCCATACCATTTTTTATACGCAGTGCGAGTGCGAGAGAGACAGTCCTATGGGGATTTACATGTGTACGAGAAAGACAGATAGCACTGGTAGACTAAAAGACAGTTATGAAATATTTTTATCGAACTTACTCGCTTTGAGTAGCCGTTACTTTCGAAGTTTTTAAATAATTTATAAATTGAACAAACAATATTCTTGTATATACATCCGTGTACTGTGCATATAGGATAACATGTAATGATACATTATAATTCGATTACAGGATTTTATGAAGGTTAGAAAAGTTTTCTCGTTTTATTTTTTTTTTATCCACTATGTTACCGTTCGAAGCACAGGACTAACACCAAGGACTTAATGACTACTGTGGATTCGAATTAGATGGCTTTGACTATAAATATTTTTTCTATGTACCTAATCGATAAGCATACGGCCGCTGCTATTAACTAAAGTGTCGTTAAGCAGCGCTACGATACGAATTAATTGAAAGTTTGAATTTTCGAGTTTGAAAGTTCGCGGGCTTTCTAAGATCCTTTTCGAGCACGAGGAAAATGTTGGCCAAGACAGTGGATTGCGCGCGGTAAATTCAAGTCACGAATTCGAGATTCACCTGGGACTGATTTGCTGGGAGCATCGCGAACCAACGTTATTCGATTTCCAAGTCTCGATGTATCGTTATCTTGGAACGCGAATGAAACAGCACGAACTGCGTGGGTCGAGTTACTTTTTCATGGGAAATGATCGAACGAAACGACGAGGATAAAAATATTAATGGTCGAACTAAATGAGATACGAGGATACGATATGTATTTTTATCTGATACGTACAATTTGACAAGACATATTGATAAGCGGTTCTATTGGAAACGAATAACAGTTCGAGGTCAAAGTAGTTTTAGGTGGACGAACAAAAGTGAAGAGAAATTAAATGACGGCGGTTCAATTATTCTAATCCTCCAGGATCAATTAGACACGGTACCTAGGTTGGCAATGACATCCGTGTCGCGAAATCCGACGAGACGGAATTCTCGCGGATTTTTAATTCCTGCGATTCCCACGGAGCCATTAGCGACACTAACTGATAAAAGCAATCTGCATACTAATACGTAATTTTCCGGCGTGCAGAAACTGTCGAAATAGGTCAAAGGCCACGGGGACCTTTTGATCGTGGTTCAACTTTTCTCACCGACTGTTCCCGTTGGACACGTAAAGAAAAGTGTTGCTCAAAAATGTATAGTCTATTTTAAAGTGTGAACAAATTTTTAAAAAATTCCAAAGTACTTTGATAATTTGTTTTTTGGATTTCTCTTTTTATATGCACTTTTAATTTAACGAATCAAACGCTTGTCAATATTCCAATTAAATTCAATATTTTTCTTCTTCGCAGCACGTCACTTTTGAAATGTATATAGACACGGCGAAATTGAAATTATAAGTGAAGTAGTTTCTAAACTAAAAGTCAAATTGATTAGCTATAGACACACAAATGACTCGACATGTATTATGAAAGGAATAATTAATAACGGTAATTGTCATTGGAATTTATTTATAAACGACATGATAAATTATCAGAAAATTTCATTCTATGTTTCTATAAAAGACTCGTCAGATGTTGTCCGCTTTCGTTTAATGGAAAAATCGATGTAAACATATGTACAAATCGTTGTATAGATCTAACCCAGCGAATAACCGTTCCCGAGGTAAGGACTTCGTAAAATGATAGGGATCTATCGACAATAATAGAGAATTTTAGTTTGGTAGGTATTACGCGAGTTGGCAGCCACGTGGGCTCAAACGTTATGGGTATTTTATGCATTGGCTGCCGTCCGATGCATATATGAAGTTGAATTTGCATCTCAAGGGATGCATTCTACTTGGAACGGGGTGAATGTACGAGATAGGATAGGCGAGCGTGACATGTGAGGTAATATTAGAAATCCCTAACACGTCCGTTAAAATAGTCATCAAGAATTTGTCTACGTTTCAATAAAGTTTCTCGAATATCAACACGACGCGCGTATAACGTAATAAAATTTCAATATTTGCCAAATCAACCCTCGGGGCAAAATATATGAAGAAACAAATTTCCCAATGGACGAATTTTGAAGAAAAAAAAAAAAAAACTTATTTTCCATTCGGTTACCTTCAAAAAAAGAGGACAGTTCAAACATACCATCATTTTCGCGCAACCCAATGTTTACGAGAATAAACAAAAATTCACATCGGATCAAATTCCACGAACCACTAAACGGCAAGTGGCACGATAAGCGAATCTTCGTTAAATAAAAAAAAAGTACATTTTCGACCTGCAACAAAGTACTTTGTCCCCCTATTTTTTCAAACTTCCATAAAAGCAATCAAGTCCGAGTCCAATGGGGCTTTAACGGTAATAAGAGTGCGTTCTTCTCGTTCAAGAAAACGAGACGCCATTGCCCCGAAAAAAAAAAAAAGTTACGTAACGATTCGTCACAAGTACTTCGAAGCAAGGATTTGCAACTTCGTCGAAACACCATTAAACTCCAGTCTGGGATAACAATAACGGCAGCAGCGACGTCTCGTGCTAAGAGGATGAACCAGAAAGATGGGGATGAGAATGAAGACGAAGATGAGGACGAGAGTCAACATTGTGCCAAGACGACCTGAACCTGACACGGATAGGGCAGATGCAGCCCGTACCCGAAGAATCCACGTTTAAACGTTCGTTCAAAATTTCATCCAGTGAGCCATTGGGTTATCTCAGTTCCAGTTGGACCATGTAATTCCGTTGACCGACCCAAGGCTGTAAAAGGGGTGCGGAACACTAAAATAGCGGAGGATGAAAATCTACCCAGAAACAGGGGTGCCGTAGGACATTAGAAATCTAGCAGAGTGGTATACGTGGTTGTGACGAAGGGTTCCGATATAAAGGGATGGCAAAGGGGCGATGGGGTTAGAAGGGGCTTCGAGCAGAGAGAAAGTGGTAGGGAAAGCAAGGTTCGGATCTCCAGCCAGTGCGCCAGCTGTGAGGGATCATCGGGACGCCGTAAGTCTTACCAACTGTGCCATTACCGTCCTTTCTCCAACCATATATTCCCCCGTTAAGCTCGTATCGCAAGCGGCCGACTAACCAGAGTACACGCTTCCCGACTACTCGCGAATTTGAAATACCACGACACGGAGGAGCATCCGCTACCTCTGGAATCTTCGGTAGTGTGAACGGCTCTCAGCAGTTTCTCAACTTCTGACGATGTAACTGAAAACGCATTCGCGTGTTTAATGGACTGTGGTGCAAGAACGTACACAGGATACTGGATCTCAATGAATATCCTAATTTAAGCAAAGATCCCATAAAAACGTATTGCGTTGGTTAATAAGAAGGATCGATCAAAGAAGTAAATAATTAAATATCTTATACGTATATCCACGCGTGTTACGTAACGCTTTAGTCAACGTTGCTAACGGGTTGCTATTTACGTTTCGACTGCAATTTTATATTACGCAATCGTATCACGCGATCGCGATAATCGAACCCTTTCGTGGAAAGGGACTTTGTGTTTCATATTTTTTTTTTTTTCTTTTTTTTTTCCGTCCTTCGCTTCGGCTCAAGCCGCTCCTCTGTCCGATGACTGTGCCGGCGATTATCTTTGTCATCGTCCGGACACGCGAGCTTATAGCAGGGAAAAAGGAAAGAAAGTAACGGCGAAGGGCGGTGACGTCGTATTCGAAATGTGCAAATCACCCGCTTTACATTTTTCATCGTGAACGGACGTCACGTGGGTTACTGCGCGTGTCGTGGAAGATCACCTCGCGAAATGCGGACTGGTTAACGTAACCAAATGGGTAAATGAAGCCACTATGGAAATAACGACACCGTCGCGGCTTTCATTACGTTTCTGATGCAATCCCACGTACTCGTCACGTTGAACGCGCAGCAATGTATTTTTAAATTGCACCAAGCCCTAGACACGCAACGCTAACCTCTTCCATCTCGGAATTCCCACGCTTTATAGTAAATATATATATATATATATATATAATTCTTTTAAGAATATATCTCCTAGTCGTACAGTGTATATAAAAAGTTAGGATATACTTTTTAAATAGTTTTCTCGAGTCGTCTCGAGTACGACTAATTCTTTTAAGAATATATCTCCTAGTCGCCCTAGACACGCAACGCTAACCTCTTCCATCTCGGAATTCCCACGCTTTATAGTAAATATATATATATATATATAATTCTTTTAAGAATATATCTCCTAGTCGTACAGTGTATATAAAAAGTTAGGATATACTTTTTAAATAGTTTTCTCGAGTCGTCTCGAGTACGACGTATTTTAATTAGACGTTCGACTAGGAAATTTTGTTTAATGCCTTTATAGGCAGGTGATATATGTATATACATATATATACGTTATACATATACCGGGAGGTTGCTTTGAAATTTACTGAATTATTCGAGCGTAGAATATTATACTACAGAATGCTCGCCGAGAAATTTAGTTTTCGCGAATACAACTTAACGAGAAAAGAGAGAAATGGTCGAATGTGTTTCGAAATTAATATTATAAAAGTCGGCGAAACGAATGGACAGAAGTGAAGTTAGAATTCGAAATGAATATTTCAGTCTTACTGGTCGATGCTAGTGGACGCGACGTGTTTGGCGTTGTTAGAAGTAATGGGGATGTGTGCAGTAGAATCAGTCTACGTTAGGTCAGCCACGTAAACATGACTACGCAACCGGGAAACATGCATGTGTAAATGTCCCGTAGTAATGAGCTCGTGTATTTTCCACGATATACAGATGTTTACGTGACGTGTTCTAATACCAGGTGAAATTATGAAATATGGCTTACAATTTTTCGTCGTTGTTCAACATCGGGTAATTTGAATATTTAAAAGAGCATAGCACCTCATTGATATATTTAATTGTCAAATAATAAAAGTGTCACGAGTAAAGGTATCTGACTTAACGTGAAGATAGAAAAAATATTTAAAAAAAAAAAAAAAAAAATGAATAGCGTTTCATCACCATCCTCGTCGTTGTAAAGTGTTAACTATTTCGTCGGTATATCCCGCTCATCCAGCATTCCGTCTGTCACGTAAGAAGATTAGACCACCTGGTATTTTCCGCTAGACAGCTCGAATCACGTGGCGTAAATTTTCCTGAGAGGAAAATTCGTCGAGCCATCCAACTAAAATGAAATTTCATTAACCAACCTGGCGATTGGCCAGCCGTAATTGCCATGCAAGTTGAAAGCATTTGGAAAATACGTATAGAGGGATTGAGGAGAAAAAAAAGAAAATCAGTATTTAAACACAAATTTACAAAACTTCGAACCACGTATAATTTTGTCTGCGAATTAACATTGCTATACTGTATTTGGCCATAGCGCCGTGGCGCTGTCGACTGTTGTCGCTCTAGCACCTTCGTAAAAGAAGAATACAGTCAGAAGTGCTGTACTCGTTTCGTTAGTTAATATTTGAATATTCACCCGATCCACACAATATGCGTATAGTACACGAGACCTAATTATATGTAGATAGCATAGTGGAAAATTCACAGAGAGAAATTTCCGTTGGGAATACGACGAATATTAATTCCTTCCACGTGGCTTTCACAGCGAACTCGTGCCAAGCAGCAAAGAGGAGACCCCGAGCTAGAGGTACGAGTGTCAAGAATCCTCATCGTGTAGGAAGACGCAGCTGAAATTCCGTTTTCCCGCCAGATGGCGCGCGCGTCGCATCGTCGCCTTTTCGCGCGTCGACGATCAACTACGGTGACGAGAATGACGTCAACGACGTCTGCTTGAACTACAGAGAAGCACGTCCGTGTTCAGCACGAATCGCAGATAACGCTTGTCAATTTTTCCGTTAAAAAAAAAAAAAAAAAAAAGGAAAGATGCGTCTACTGTCACGACGTTCGAAAGGAGAAAGGATTTCTATGAGAAAGGAACAAAGTCTGTACCGGTGACTAGGACAACCCCCCTCCCCTCGGGAGACGTCGACGTCGAAACGTGACGTAGAGATAGCCTGGAAGAGTCGAACCCTCAACAATTCAGCAGAATTCACACCACGTGAGAAGAACGTCCCCGGGGAGCAACGCGGGATAGGGTTACTCCGTGGAATAGGCAGTCGTAAAAATACTTATACAACAAAAAAAAAATACTGAAGTTATGAATACAAAAGTGTCGAAAAAGAGAAATGAGAAAGAATAAGGAGCCACCCGTTTAAAACGTTTTGTGTCCTTCAGCCTTGTACATAATGTATACTGTACCGCGTGACAATGGGTTTCATTTTAACGATCGTCTGACATGCGTGTAAATTTATCTTGAGGAGACTAGTACTTAAATAAAAAAAAAAAAAAAAAAAAAAAAAAAAAAAAAAAAAAAAAAAAAAAAAAAAAAAAAAAAAAAAAAAGATTCGGAATATAGGAGAGACTTAATGGTAACTGAATTGTATATGTCGTATAGAAAGGTGGATATACATATGTAATACAAATTATATATACATATATATACCACTAGCGACCACTAAGCGACGTGCGGAAATTGTGTTCGATCGTTGGTTGGTTGAAAGAAGAAAATAAGAAAAGAATTCCTAATGGCGTGTAAGGTATATATATACAGTGCATTAACTTGTATATATACCAGGTGACTCACTATAAATTAATTTCTCAAAAAAATTCTTGGTTTTTGTATATATGAAAAAAAAAGTGTTTCAAGTCACATACATGTTCTGTACATGCCATATAGAACACAACGTATTTTATATGAAATATTGTTTCGTTACTTCAAAAACTGATTCGGTTATTTGAGTTACTAACTTATATTGACTCGCCTTATATATAACGGAACACAGACGTAGGCTGAAGACGCCGATGTATCAAAGGTTTATAAGGCGTAAGGAACGTGTCGCGTCGTACCTGAATGACGTGTATTTCCAAGGGGCGACCGCCAAGAGAAACGAAGTCGAGCCTTGCCCGGCAATAGTAATAAACGTTAACGCCGGGATTTGTAAGTTCCGCAGCGGGCTGGACGGCGGGGCAGGCGCGAAATGGTATTACGTCGGCGAATAATGCAAATGGCAACAAAGACTTTTCGCTTTACATCCGGACCGTGAAGCGCGCGATTATTACATCCGCGCGGGCGATTTTCGCGCCGCTTACAATATGCCCGGTTCGGAATAAATGGAGAAATGTTCTTCGGGCTGCGGGAAGATGGTTTAATACGGCACTTAATACGCGAAGCTCTTCCTAGAAGAGGTTAGGTATAATTTACAATGACTGTGTACTGCACTATACTCGTATCGTACGAATCCCAGCTGTTTTATTGTCACGAGAATATATCAGTATATTACCCTCGCAGCTGTATCGTCTAATATATAAATTATATGCCCGACTTTACGTTACGATGACAGGAAATATCAAAATATCCAAAAAAAAAAAAAAAACACCTTTATGTTTCCGCATCTGTTCGTATATTCTAGCCTAAACAAAAAAAGACTCTTATGGTTGTCAGAAATCCATTGGCATGAAAGTACCAATATATTTGAAATTGTTACGTATAACAGGTATCGAACGCGGAACGAGTTTTCAGGTAAAGAGACAGAGACGGAATTGGCGTGTTCTTACTATAGGTAAACCTACTATAGGCAGACACAAAAGAGATATCCTCGGAGAGGATACTAAAAATATAGTCTACTCTCTTTACGTTATATCGAGGAGAAAATTCGTCTCTCTGATACTCAAAAGATATTACAATACTATACAAGAACGATGTATATATATATTTTTTCGGTAGATTTGATATTCTCGTTTACTCCTATTTCTTCGTTAGAAAATAAATAAAAAAAACTACCCGCCCACATTTGAAGCCGAGAAAAAAAGAAAATGTACGAAACACCCGTCCCCTACGTTGGTTCTGGGCGGGAGTCGTAAAGGCACTAAGGAATCTTATTCGATTTGGAAGTTTTGCGAAGCCAGAGGGCGCCAGGTCGGCCGTCAATAATGAGAAATGTTCACCACGGGGGTATTTCATCCGTAACCGTAAAGCGGGGGTCCATTTTGGTTGCATACGTATTCCCATCACGTACGTAATACAAGGCCAGACAAGCCTTCTCCTCGTGAAATCTACCCCGCTTTCCTATACTCATTCCGACAGTAGTACCCATATCCGATTCACGAAACTACCCCTTTCTATCACGGTAGGAATAGTAGGCCTTTCGGTCACGAGCCCCTCGCTCGTTGTTTATGTTAAAATTATGGCGCACTTGGTTGTAAATAATACAATCGATGCTGCCGGTGTCAAAGTGGTTTTAGGTATACAACCAATCGAGCATGTAGGTTACATACCTACGAGCATATGGGTATACTGAACCGCCCTTATTTTTCAAGATTAGATTTTTAGGTTTGCCATCAATATTATGTACCTATAAAAAATTGAATGGCCTATTTAAAAAAATTTTTTTAAAAAATGACATTCTGAATTCGTATCATTCACGAAATAGGCTGATGTATCAACGTGAATATCAAGGGGAAAATTCCTTGAGAGTGTCAGAGGAATTTTTGGAAATTTGAACATTTTTTTTTTTTTACCCGACGAAGCTTCGGTCCGTTATTATGGGAGTTGAGGAGTTAGTCGAATTGTCGTCGACGTCAAACAATTAAGGGAACAAAACTAATTAAAAACGAGAAGTGCGCCATCGTGGCGTATCGTCAAGACTGTTAGGACGTGACCCTAACGGAAATGGGGAAAGTCTCTCTCAGGAGCTCGTACTCAGTTACGGTTCGAGATTCTGAGGAGACAGCACCAGGGCCAGGTTCGGGACGATAACGTGGACAGAAGGGTAATTAGCATGAATTAGAATAGGTACCCTCTTCTTGTAAAGTAGTTGCTGTAAAGTACTTGTAGTTGGGCCAAGCTCGTTTTGAGTGGCAGCTCAACACCCTGGAATGATTCTTATTCGAGATATTTCGATAATGCGTTTCGGGCGATAGGGTGTAACGGCGACTGGGAATTTAAGGGAAGACAACTAACCTGAAAAGAGTTCGAGGAACTTCTCCACGCCGTAATTACCCGGAAAACGATAATTCGGATCCCTTATGGCGTCACCGCTGTGGACCTTCACTCGTTTTATCATGAAGCTTATATTGTCAGGTCGGCCATCTTGGTTGAAATCTAAAAAGAAAAGGTAAAATAATTTCAGCGTTGTAAAATTTCAAAAAAAAAAAAAAAAAAAAAAAAAAAAAAAAAAAAAAAAAAAAAAAAAAAAAAAAAAAAAAAAAAAATAAATAAATAAATACACTCTTGAGGACAATACTCCATTCATTCGTTGCATTCATTTGGCCAAACAGTACATTAGCCCTGACATAAATGCACCTAATGTTAAATGAAAGGCGTGTGTTATTGTGCCAAGATACAAATACACCCGTAAAACCAAAAGTATCGGACAGACATTATAATGCACAATGGAAACGCAATGCGGGCACAATGCGTTATTACGCGAGGGCTGTAAATAATTGGAAAATTATTAGTCATGCTCGTAGCGCGTTACCGTTAATGGAGACTCGAGTATAAAATGGCAAAATTATTCCAATAGGTACGTTATTCACCGTGGATCGTGGGATGGTAGGAAAACTCGAAAAGGCAGAGTAAACGAAAATGGCAAAGAGGGAGTGGAGGGAGCTTAAATGCTTAATCGTTAATGAAGAGGCCTTCGTTGGGAAAATTAATGATGACGGGAAATTCGTGAATCGCAAGAGTCCGCCACCCAATTGTTTCAACCCCCCCCCCCTCC